CTCCAACAGTTTGGTACAGACCAAGGTGTCTGCACACCACCTGAGTCTTCATCTGAGGGCAGTGCTGTCCGGAGGTTTGACGTGATACAAGTCAGGGTGGCTTTGAGGCTGCTCTGTCCTGGATGCTCTAAGCATGCACCCTCCCCTCCCACACAGGGACATCTCTAGCAGCTTACAGTCAGGAAGGAGCAATGTCTGCTCCTGGGGCAATTCCAGAGGTGCTCCACTGGCTTCATGGTTACCTGGATGAATGCAATCTGTGGAGCCCATAGCAGATAGGCTTTGCCCACTGTGTCAGCATCTGATAATGAGATAATCAGTAATAAATCATCTCCTAACCAGAACTATGCCAAAGAACATTTATTACTGAGGAGCATATATGTTTCCCCCTTGTTTTACACACTCTTAAACATTAACCTCAATTGCTCCTACAACATACATGCTTCATCATGATAGGTAAAGCCCCCATTACCGATATGCTCACTTTACAGCTCCAAAATGGTCTAATTGCACATGAAAAGATTTCACTGCTGAACAGCTGCTTCAAAGTATTTGAAATAAAAAGGCTGTGAAGTTTTGTTTGGTGCTAGCAGAAGGTGCCAGACTGACAGCACTACACAGTCCCTGCATGGAACAAGTGGAATAATATAGCTGTCATCCTCAGTATCACGTGCCGTCTTTGTACCGTGCTGGTTTTTATCTGTTGATGAAAAAGCACAAGGATGCTACAAACGTCCCACAGCCAACCTCTGGAAGGAGGCTGTGCACCATAAGGAATCTCGTGCTCGCTGGCACAAGAGTCCTGCTGACATCAGTGGGAGCTGGGCTAGATGATAGCCTGACTTCAGCTGGAAGGTGTGCTTGGGGATTACGTGGTTTTTACTTAAGCCTTTTACTGCGCAGGTAATTATTACTGTTATTCATCTCTCTGGATTCTGATGCTACTGCAAAAAATCTGCTGCATGGTGCGTGACACCCAAAATCTCCTTGTTCAGATTTGCCAGCTTGGGAGAATGACACAAACTTACATATTTGACTAATTCTGAAGGTCGTCTGGACTGTTTCAGTTAGCTGTGAATTACACTGAGGGAGCATGAGATCAAATCAGGGTGGTAGTATTGCTAAGTGTCAATGAAACTCTCTGCATCCGTAACACTGCAGTGGGAGCAAAGTGCCGCTGCAGCTGCTCAGGGCGTGTGTGTGTACCTGGTGGCGATGCCCACAGCAACGCTGACCGTGAGTGCAGAGGTACAGCCCTTCCACCCGCTGGAACGGCCCGCGGCCTGGGCTGGGGAGTTGTCACGCGGGCATTTCTCAAACTGCGCCCTCTCAAGTTAGGGGAATAGTCTCCTTCTGGAAGGAATAATGAACTTCTGGAGACGATCTTTGTTTCATGCAGCAGCACAACCACCTCAAAACTGTGCTGGTAGGTAATACCCGGCTACTCCTTGTGTTATATGCGTATTTCCTGGGCTCCGCTCTGTTTCTTTTTTGATGACACTGTATGAAGCTGTTAATATCACTCAGATCAATGCACAACTTACTGAACTGATTTAGCTTAACTTTTTTTGCCCTTCTTTATACTCTTTCTGTAATTGCTTACTGTCAAAAACAATGCTCATTCTTTCTGCCAATTAATACGCACTCTTAGGAATAAGCCCTTGCATAGAAGAGAAAATCCATGAAATAACTGATGTAAGCGCTTAGTAAGGAAGCCCCACAACGGCTGGAATTTACCTCCTGACCAAACCTCTGTAAAATCCATGTGCATGTTCATACAGCTAGTAGAGTGCTCCATAACCCATGGTGGTACCATGTCTGCTTATGTACTTTGTTAGGTCCCTGATACTGTGTCCCTGGAGAAGAGACTTGGGCAGAAAGCTGCGTCTCTTTTGTGGCGGTTGTTTTCAAGGGAAAAATTAAATTTTTCCCAAACTGTCAGCAGGGCCTATGAAAGATGAGTAGTGATAAAAGCTAATGCCTTCTGCCAAGAAGTTCTCTGTTGAATGCAATCTGAGATGAACGCTATATAGAAAAACAATCCCAGGAAAGGGTCCGCAGCAGGTTAGCTGGGTATTGGGAGAGGAGCATTTCAGATTTAAGAGTAGTGTCAGTAGAGTGGGGTTTTTTTCTCTTTTATTTTTGTCACCTATGTTTTTATTAAAACACTGTAACTGTTGCTTATTTTGGATGTTGTAAATACAGGCTTTTTGTATGCATCTGCACTTCAACTTGACTTGAGGTAAAGGTGATTTCAGGGTTACTGGGTAAGAGGGAGGCACTCCTCAGCCAATAATGTGGCAGAGTAACAAAAGGGATGGTGGGGCAGTCCAGCAACTGTGCACTTCCCAGCATGTGCTCCTCAGGTACCGCGTGGGCCAGGATGAGGGCTGGGATCCCTAGAGTCGGGTGAGCTTTCCAGCGACACATAGGTGGGCAGGAGTTCGGCTGAAGAACTGACAGCTCTGGGGGTCCTCGGAGTTTGTTGCTGACTTGGTTAGCAATGTTTGTTCACTAAAAGCTTCTGTTACTAATCCCGCAGCTTCTGTACCCTGCGAGACCTGTGGAGGAGGGAGTCCTGCACCCCTTTCATCACCATTTCTTATGAGGGTCTCTTTCCTATTAAGCCCAGGGACTCTGAAATCATTCCCACTACTTTTTTTTTTTTTTACGTGTACTTGTCTAATGCTGTGCCTTGGAACACATATAACTCAGTGGGAGGATTCCAGATGACTTTCAGTGGGAGTGCATCAGGCCTGTTAATAACTGAAGCTCTGACTCTCTCTTGATTAGTTCTTTATACGCAGATCATAATATTAAAAAGCTGAGGGGGAAGACGAAAGATAATAATTCTGTAGCTGTTTTTCAGTTAGCTTCCGCGCTGGCAGGTTAGACAGCAATGAGAATACAAACTGCCTTCATTTGTCCCATCTGTTCTCATCCGGCCTGTCACTGTACCCCATGTGAGATACTGCGCACTGCAAGTTCTTAGTTTTCAAGACGAAGGAATAACGTTCTGGAGTGCGTTGCTCATCTGATGAGGCTATTGAAATATTGATCACATGCTTTGCCACACACACAGCAAATAAAGGAGGAATTTTCAGTTGGAAGTTACTTCATGTCGTCAGTATCTGGGAGGCAGCTCTTCTGGTGGCGCTGGCTCTCAGCAACAACTTACTGCAGTAGCTTTTAGAAATGCAAATAGAAGGGAGACCATGTAATGGAAAGCGATGTTGTCTTTGAGGCAGAGAGAGGCACATGTATCCTGGGCCTAACGGAGAAACATCTGGGTTTCAAAACTGCTTGTTGAGTTCAGTGCTACTTACTGTAAGGAAGGGTAATCTGCACAAAGAACAGCTAAGAGCATGAAAGCAACCTTACAAAGCAATGTAAAGCTGCTGAAATCCCTGAGGTCAAGCAGGGGGAATTTCTATACGAGAAATCAATTGGTTCAGTTGGAATAAGCCTTGTTCCTATTCCCTTGCTTGGCCTTGCTCAGTTGTGGTTAAATGAGGAGAGTGGGTGATAATCATCTGATTATCTTGCTGTTGACGGGCTGTGGAACAGGTGGAAGCCTTGGCTTGTCCTCTTGCCAATGCCAGCTCCAGGGATGGGTCCAGCATTTGGAAAGAGAAGTAAGGTGTTCCACAATCTGAAACAGGTGCAGTAAGATGGCTGATGGCTGTTCCACTGCTGAGTGTATCAGGAGGGGACCTGGAATAGTCAGGCTGCTTGCTCATCTCACCTATGTTCCTGACTCAGACTGCCCAATTACCCACCACGAGAGAGAGTTAACTTTTCTCGGTAATTAATGAAATATATTAGGAAAGACTTCCCAGGTATAGGATGCAATTTCTGGTTCAGACCAAAAAGTTAACTAGGTTAACTTACAGCAATCTTTGGTTTGATATGGGAGACCTGGCATGGGGGAGGCTAATACTCCATGCTGCTGCCCTGTATCTAACAGTGTCACCACAGTTGGTCCCCGTGCCACAACCAAGCCAAATTTAAAACTGTGTATGTGTAAACCAGCAATCTTTTCCACAACAGTTAGTAGCAGACTGCTAATGAAGCCACCGTGCTCAATTACTCTCATAGATACATGTTACTAAAGTTTTCCTGTTCATGTTAAGATATTTTTTTCATCAGACCTTATTCCCTATAATAATAGCAAAACCAGAGCTCCAGGCCAAGTATGTTCTTTCTAAGCTACAGGTTGCTACTGCATACTGATATCTGTCACCTTGGTGTTTAGCTCTCTGACTACACTTTAGGTTAACGCATTGATTAATCCAGATATTAGATAAAAGATAGAATTTATTTAGGATTGAATATTCATTTGTAAATGGAATATGCTACTTATTTTCCAAAGTCCATGACATATTGGCTTTGTTACAGATTTATCCAGAACACCTGAAAAAGTACTGAACTGTAGTTAGCCAAGACACTTCTTCCACATTACAACTTTATTATTCGCCACTTCCTAACTTTCTACAGCCACTTAACTCCATTCAAAGTATTTCAAGGTCTATTGCTCATTCCTAACTTTTCCATTAACCTCTTCCCACAACCCCTAATGAATTACTACTCGGGTTCCTACAAATAAGATATTTTCATCTCTGCTGTAATGATTTCAGGTGTGCAGTTGCCCTGTAGGATACGCTCCCTTTTGTCTCCATCACGTCTGTAACACAGTAACGTGGTATTGCATTAGAAAAAGATGCATTAAATTTTCTAGGCAATACCTAAAGCACCATAAGTGGCCGTATTTTTTTTTCCACACAGGAGAAGTAGTTACCTAGAGAAATGTATTAATTTTACATGGGGTCCTGTATGTTTTTCCCTATGAATAAGCGACAGTTCTGACTAGAGAGACCCTCCAAAGTTTGTATCAGTTAATTGGTGTCGTTATACTGATTTCTGAGGGCATTAGATTCAGCCCTGGCTTTCACATTTTAAAAAACGGCCCTGCCTGAGTCACTGAATAGTACCAACGTAGGCTATGCAAGTTTTACTTTACTCAGAACGTAAGACAAAACGGAATCCATCACAACGGTCGGGAATAAAGCACACACAAACACCAGTGCTTTTTCCTTCAGCTTCGCTACCATGTAACGCGCCTTGGGTGCAGGAGACATTAAAGCATCTACCATAGCATCTACAACTTCATTGCCGTTAGCGCTTCCTCTGCTGAGAATGCTGTTGAAAAAGTTTGCCCGCTCTTGAACATACTCCTTATTGTAAACTGCCTTTTCCTCTTCACCGAGTTCATTCCAAATCTCTTCTGCACTGACTGGTGGCTGAATTTTTGTAGAGTGTGCATAATTTCCTGGCTGAATAATACAGACCTAAAAGCAAGATGCAAAACTTATCAAGATGCAATCAGTCATTCTGAATTCAAGCAAATACTATAGCCAGTAAAACAGATCAAAAGCTTTCTGCAGACAGGTTTCTTCCAGAAAATGCTGCTTTGTTGAAATTTGAACCTTGAAAACTTGACTGAAATCAAATATATTCCTGTGAAACATTTAAGATTGCAGGGGTGCTTTATTCTGACTTCCTCATTTCACTCTGATGTTAATGTTCTTGTTTTGACTACTCGGCATACCTTCACAGAATGCAATAGTGCATCTTTGATTTCTATAGAATGCATAATGGTATAAATGTTTTGACAATACTGAGACAAAGCATTTCAGTATGACTTTGATGTCTCCAAAGTGGAATACTTTGGATTTTTCACTCAGTGGCGAATCTTGCAATTGGTAATTTTTTGCCCCGGTTTGGGACAAAAGGAGATGTCAAAGAAAATTAGAAGGTCCTGGGGAAAGAAGTGCTGTTTTCCCCAAGTAGGTGTAATTAAAACAGGTCTTGTCAGCCAAGTACAGAGGGGACCAAAGGTCCTGGTCTAGCTCTCACTGAAGTCATTAGCAAATTTCCATAGATTTCTGTGCATGTAGATTTAAACTGAAAGCACACAAATCCTTTGCTGCTCCGCCTGTTTTCTTTGCATGTGTTGTTGCTGCTGTTCTGCTAACTTCAGACGCTTCTGGGGAATTTCAGAGCAGGCTGAGCACTCACAGTATGCATGCTTTTTCTCAGTTAGCAGCGGGCTTGTTCAAACTATTTGTAGATATGCAACATTAAAAACTCCATGGCGTTTAACTGACCTGATTTGTAAAGACTACAACACAAGGTGAGGAAAAACGGTGCTGAGCTGCATAAAAGACTCGGGGATCTGACAGGCGTTCTCTGGAAAGTCTGTGGTAATGTAAAACCTTAATGTCCCCGACCTGCCACCCAGCCCATCTACCAGAGGCTACCACCTGAGTGCCACTACCGGCACGTGCCTGCCTCTCGGCCTGCACGGCAATCGGCGCGCTGCATACCGGAGGGGTTGAGCCGTGTGTGGGGAGCAGGAAGGGGTGTGGGTAAGCTCCAGCAGAGAGACAGCGTGCATAGCTGGGGGCATCTTATGCTGCCTCAGGTAGGTTTGTCACGGGGCATCTTTTGGAGCCCTCCCTTTGGGTGCTATTTTCAAAAGTGTTAGCCAAACTAATGCCAATAGTAAACTTCCCGCATTTATTTTAAACAAAGGAAGTTTGAGAACTTCATGTTTTGGAGCTTTTTGGAGTTGGCTAGGAGAGAAGGAGAGATGATGCTTTTTTCCCTTCCTTGATTTTCTGTAGCCTTCTTTCTAATAGAAGACACATACTTTGTTTCTTGTAGGCAGCCAGCTTGCCTGGCCAGAGTTCAGTGGGACAGAGCCATAGCTCCATCTGTTTCTTGCCACCTCTGGGCGGCTTTCTCCTGAAAGGACAAAGGGAACGACAGGGCAGGGCAGGGGAGCACAGGGAAGAGAGACCGTGTATTCTGCAGGCTCTTTGCAGGGTAGGTTCCAAGACAAATGCCAGCCAGTGTCTTGCATACAGTGAGAAACAGAAAAATAACTCTCTCAGATATTCTGGAAATGCTTGTCAGCCAGGCTCACTGTATTGCGTGCTGGGCCTATTCCGGGGGTGGGGGAACGGTAAAAATCCCCAAATGACCAGAGTAGCTAACCTGTTAAACCAAGCTCTTCCATGCATTTGAGATTATCCTCAGCTAATTGGTTCAAATCCTCACCGTGCTCTGTGGTATTAGGATGTGTAAAATCACTTGCATTTTATAGCATTTTATATTTATCCGAGAGGGGTAGTTAATAGATGCATAGCTGTAATTTCTTCCAACACAAAGCTTATGAACAGTGCTGTAAATCTGTGTACGTAAAGAGTACACCAATGCAAATCCTCCAGGGAAGAGTTTTAGTGTTTGAGAAGCGCGCTTCAGCAGTGGAGTGACTCCAAGGAAAAAGCCTAGTGAAGCTACTTGGTAGTCTAAGCTTCAGGTTTGATTATCAGGGTTGCTTAGATAGGGCACTAAGAGCACTCTTAGAGCCTCTTAGGTTAAAAGAATAAAAACAGAATTACTCTCCACAATACTGCCTCTTGCAGTGTAGCTGTTCCCACAAAAAGGAAGGAGCTTTTAAGCACTGATGTTGTGAGAGAAGAGAAAGAACCCCTCAGGTTCTTCCTTTTCGCTGCACATCGCTCACACCTGGGCTCTTTGCTCCCGCAGCCACCCCAGAGAAAGTTTCAGTTACCTGGTACTGTTACGAGCCCTTCACAGAGCATGGCACTGCTCAGGCTGTCCTGACTCAGGAAGTTTCTCCACTGTGGAGGATGTGGAGAAAGGGTGGAAGTTGCAGTGTTGGCACAAAGAGGAGGAGCACTATCCCACAGCTTCTCAGAACTGCAAACATCACCCAGGTTCACTGCTCTCAGTGATTTTCGGCTCACTGATTAGCCACAGAGAAACCACCTCTTTCCAAGGGGAAGCTGCACCCATGGATTCAGCCCTGATCTCCATCTTTGTCATTTGGATGCATGGATCTTACTTTGCATGAGATTAGATACTATTTTGCATACACTTGTCCTTGTTCCGTTGGCCAAAATTTCCACCCCCACGCCGTTGTCTGGTATTCTGTGTGCAAGTCGCTTGCTTCTTACCCCACAAAAAGATGCATTTCAGCTCTGTAGGAAGTTTCAGGTGTGAAACTTCTCTCTTTCTCATATGAAAATCAATGTTAGAAATAGCAGGGAGTTTCACACAACAACTACTTGTTACATCACTTACCCGGACACCGAACTTCTTCATTTCCAGTCTTAGAGCATCACAAAATTTTTCAATAGCTGCCTTGGTCATAGAATAAATGCCATTTCCCAGAGAAAAATAGGCAATAATGCTGGACGTGAAAACAATACGTCCTGGAAAGAAAATAGTACAAATAACATAACTTCACTCTCAGTCTTTAACAGAGAATTGATTTACCTGAGTCTTCTGAACTGCTAATAAGGTGGGATTTAGCATGATGCTGTTTTACTACACAGTATGCCAAAGCTGGGCTGTGTAAGTGTGCAGTCCCAGCACAGAAGTGCACTCATCTCTGTTAAGCAGAGAACTTCACACAAAAATCTTCCTTCCATCTAGTGACAGATGCTGGACTAGCCAAAGTGTAACACATTCCCAACGTGCTGCTTATTCCTTCTGAGTCCGAGACAGGATGAAAGAGATGGAAACAAAGCAGTCCCCTAAAACCTTTAGACTGAAAAATAGTAATAAAAGACTATACTAGTAATAGGAGGAGGACTGCAGAAGAGAGGAGCAGATGATTTTCCTTGCGGCGGATATATGACTACAATACCAGTTTTTCTGTGCTAATGATGTCTCTGCACTGATACCTGGCTTACAACTGTGCATATAAAGTCAAAATCAGACTGTACAGTGATAAGCTTCACCAGAGAAAGGTGACTTGACAAAATGTGTGCAGCCTTACACTGCCTTGCTGTGATTTCCCTCATCTGTGCTGCTTTTTTCCCCTTTGTAACTCTTGCTGAGTGCAGGCATGCCTTAAATAGCAGAGATTTCTGATTTGAGGCACTGGGCTGTCGTTCATTTCCATTGTTTACTTGTAAACTTCTATCACATAGTCATGCCATAGAGTAAGAAATGTGTAAATGTGGGTATAGAAATACAGAGGTGAGAGAGAAGAAGGCCTCGTCGCCAACAATACAGAGAAGATAGTTGCACTCCTATTGCTGCCGCGGATGCAGATAATGTCTGGGCCTCAGATCTGACCAAATGATATAGGCTTGTGGGATATCAAAAGGGTATCGTGGGAATGCAGTGAAATCTGTCATTCTGAATTAGGTTCCATGCCTTCCTACACAGCATCTGGAATAAATCTTATATAAAATAATGGGAGAACAACTACCAGCTTGCTGATCAAGATGCTATATCAGCTGGCCTGGCCATCTGGAAAAGTTATGGGGAAACGTTGCTCCTCTCAGAGTACGATGCTTAGTTCTAGGCTGGAGGGCAATACCTCCCTTTACAAGTATTAATAATCTTGAAGTTTTTCTTGGAACAGGTGCTCACCCTAAAATGGCAGTAAGCCCCTTCCTTCAGAAAACAGCTGCTGGGTAAGTGATGGTAGGATGACCTCTGCCTCCTTTAACCAGTAGCTAAGTGATTTGGGGCACACACCCAGGATGTGGGACATGTCATTTAACTTCTCTCTTTGCCTAAGGTAATTGAAAACCAGCTTTCCCAGGAGAATGCTCTAACATCCATAATTCAAGCTTTTCATTTGGAGAGGCCACTTGCTGCCCCCAGAAACATGAGCTTTAGCTGTCCTGGCTGTTCCTGCAAGGAAGGAGACAGGAAACTAGGATTCTTCCTAGAAGTGCCCTGGCCTCCTCTCCTACATAGATGGGGCTTGAAAATGGAGTGCGGGCAAGGCAGCATTGACTGCCAGGAGTAAGATGCAGAGCGCTCTTTTGAGATAAGGTACTATGTATGTGCAGCCATCCAGACCCAAATCTTCTAAAAGTTTATGCACGTGCTTAATATCATACACACAATTAGTCCCTTTGGCTTCAGAGTAACCCCTTGCAATTCATGAAGTCAGACAAATGCCTCTGGTGGATCAGCATCACAGAGTTTTAGCAGTAAGCAGGACATCACAGAAAAACAGTGATGTGTCCCCGTGTAATGGCCACATAACACATCCATTGTTTCTCACCGAGTATATGCAATAGCACATTCTTTTACAAAAACACATCCAGCTTGCAGTATTTAAAAGTTTCTTTCTTCTTGCATCAAAATATCATCAGCTGAAGGCAACCAAGCAGAAAGAAGCAGAGTAGTCAAAAAGGGGATGATTTTATCTTACCAAAATTTTGTGTAACAGTGACATCTGGGGCTTCCAGATGAAACCTAGCCCTTACTGTGCTTGATGCTGTATACACACAGAACAAATCCTCACCTTAAAGAGCTTACAACTTAAATAGACAAGCTAAGCAAAAGAGAGAGAAAGAAAAAGGGTGTCTTTGTTTCCCAAATATAGATGGGGACAGGTAGGGAACAAACTGCAAAGCAACTGAGACATGCTGCAATGCTGTAGAAGGCTATTTGAATCATTTCTTCTCAGAAGAAAGGATAAAGCCCACGCATATGGAGGTCCATGCAAATGCATTTATCCCATTCGATACCCAGGCATCTCTGCGTGGCACTGTTTCACATACTTGAAGTTTCCTGCCCAGGGTCATAGAGAGGATCTTGCTAGGCCTGGAACTGGAAACTGGATGCCTCTAGTTCATCTCTGTAAGAACATCCTTCCTCTCCCAATTGCCAAACAGTGAAATAGCAATGCCTAAATAATAAAGTTAAGCAGGAGTTTAGTGGATCTTTGTGTTTTCCGATTGTCAGTGCTTACAAAGTCTTGGCTGGGCTTAATGATATACTGTAAGCACTTTTTTTCTCTCTTTTTTGAGTCAACACTGAGATAATGCATTATTTGTAAATACTTTTTTCTATGTATCGTAAAGACAGAATCTTTAAGGGTATTTTTTCCCCTTATGACTTTACCCTCCTTCCGGCTCAAGTTGCTCTTTCAGGCCACACAGAAGGAGGCTGTCATTTCAGATCAATGAGAGACAATTCTTTTATACATGCTACATTACCCTGATTATAGTAAGCTAATTATTCTACCACTCTAAATAACAGTGGATTAGCATTACCCTTGTATTTCCTCAGAAGGGGAAGAAATGCCAGGGTTGTCCTGATGCTCCCAAGGAGATTCACATCTGCAAATTTTTCATATTTCTCCATAGACAGCCACCCTGTCTCACCAAATGTTGATATTCCTGCATTGTTGACAAGCCCCCAGAAACCTACGGAAGAGAAATGTCTCAACAAGCATTTTTCACTGCAAAACAACCACTAGGTGACGAAACACTAGTGATTTGGACCCTCGGAAACAACTTTTTAGTTGTGTTATCTTCTTGTCTTTTCCACTTACAAGTGCAGGCATGTTTTGTTTAATGATGGAATGTAATTGTGGCCATTACCTGGACCATGTAAGTCTCAGTGCTATTTAATAACGACTTACTTTATAGTTGTCTGAAGTTATTTAGGAATAACATGTTCTGGGAGACTACATCTTAACTGCCAATGCAGCGTACCATGATATTTTAATTACTTTAATCCCACTGTGTGCTGTGAGCAGCTTTGTGAAAATTATATTAAGCAGTCTAAAGGCTAAGGGGTAATATTTTCAAAGTGCCTGACTAATTTAGGAGCCTAAGTCTTGGCTCCTTTTCCAGGATTTGAGCTTTGATTCCTTCTGAAATCAGCCAGAATCAGGTACATGGGTGCAGCATTGGGTGAAGTAACCAAGCAAGGTCAGTGGCTACAGTATTTTTTTTTTTTATTTTGTACTCTTGGACAACTCTATTCCCCACATAACAATGGGTTTTGGTGATAAGGAGCCCAGCCCCCTGAAACGCTGTAAGATTCCGGTGTTTACAAGCGGAAATTTATCAGCAGCAAAGCTTGTTCTGACACAACTCTCTGCCAGAAAGTGCAAGCCCTTTAGCCCAAAGCCACAGAACGCTTTGTGTGAGCACTGAACAGTGCTAATAACCTTGACTGTTGGAAATGCTTTTCCGTTGAAGTGTGGAGTGCTCGCAGTTTGGAGCTGACGTGCTGACTAAACGCTGATTAAGCCATGCTGACTTGTTCTTGCCTTCAGAGCAGGTATCTGTAGATGTACGGTAAAGCAGCAAGTGACGTGGTGCTTTTGAAAACATTCCCGTTTCTGTCCTCAAATCCTGCCTGAGGATATTTCTAGAGTGACCAGCAGTGTAACTAAGAAGTACGTAGGGTAGCCTGACTTGCACTGAAATAGCTAGGTTTGCAGCCTGTCTCTGCCAGCCTTGACAATTTTGCTTATGCATTTTTTTTTAAGATTTCTTGTACATGTCTGAGGCAAATGATTGTTTTGTCATGCCTTCTACAGGATCTCCAAGCCTAGGTTTCTGGTGAGGCAGAATGGGTAACAGTGCCTCTCTTCTCTCCTCTGGACACAGGTTCTGGGACATGGATGTGATGCCGACCCAGCTGTAGCCTCCTGTACCCGCGGTGGCAAAGATGTTCTCAGGGGACCTTTGGTCACCCTGGTGAAGGTGCTGCAGAAACCCTTGGGCTGAACTCTTTTCTTTCTGATCTTCTCTGACAAAGCTACTGCGATGATTTCATGGTATCTTGGTCCTTCCAGAGCCCTGCCAAGAACTGCTAATACAGGATTTCATTCACAACAGTAGTTAAAGCTGAAACAATTTTTTGAGTTCGTTTGTAAAGCAGACCTCTGTAAGCTTTCCTAACATATATACACTACTTGTATTACATAATGAAATTGGTGTTTAAACAGAGAAAGAAACAAAGTTCTTTCAGTGAACGTCTCATTTGCAGAGCAAAACACTCAAATGCAGGAATTTGCCACACAGAACTTTGATAACTCTGTCCTCCAAAGAGAATAAATCATTATTCAGCAGTCTGTCACACAGCAATCCTTGACACTGGACCTCTCTTACAACTTTAGATACAGACTGACTGCTGTCCTAGTAATGCAGCCATTTCCTGTGTACTCACCTTTTTCCTACTGCCCCAAATGTTAGTGGACAGAGAGGAAATGGACCAAAATATTGGCCACCCTCGACTTCCTTCTTCCTCCTGCCATTGCCCTGTTGTTCCAGGTCTTTCCACCATTCTGTGGCTTTATTTCTCCTTCTTAAAATGGAACTAGCCCCATGGGACTGACCTCCTTGTAAAAAAAAATCAAGATCAATGGATTAGAGAGTCCTCTGTAAAAGCTAATTATTAATATTTTTGTACTTGCACATGATCTGATCTGCAGATGGACTGAATAGCTGCACACCCCATCTGTTTCTACTTAAGGCTGGAGGTCTCTGTACTCAGGTTTATTTTTATATAACCTAACTCTAACACAACACAAACTAAAGCCTGGCATCACTGTAAAAGCTGTTCCCTGATCTTCTCAGCTTTACCTTTTCTAATTAAAAAAAAACATGTCATTTTTCTTCTGCCACTGCATCCTGCACAGCGCAGCAAGAACACTTGCTCCACATATCCCTGAATTCATTAGGGCTTCAGAAATACAGCCATTAAACTTTAGACGATTGATTTTCTTCCTCTTTCTCTAAACTGCGAAACACAGAATTTAGCTTGCAAGGCTTAAGTTTTCTCTCCAGCCATTTGCCTCATGCACTTCAAAGACTCCAGGTGGTTATCAGTGAGGCCAGCCTGTGTGTATAAACAGGCAGAGTTCACAGAATAATGGCGCCTTCTTTCTGTGGGGTGGCCAAATCAAAAGTCAAGAGGAGAAAAACTGGCTTGAGTTAAACTGAAACAGACTTTTCTGAAGAGAAGATTAAGTAAAACATAAAAAGAGATTTTGCTCAGGGTCAGCTCAAAACATTTTACTTGCCCTCAAGCGAAACTTATGGTTTCTTAGAACATTTTGGCATTCCCGAATGGGAAATGTTCTGATATTTTCCACAAATTTTCCTGCCACTTTGTTCAGTTGAATCAATTTGCAAAATTCAACCCAAACAGTTCATTATCCCCTTATGCCCCTTTTTCAGAAAATTTCCTATGTCCTGAGAAACAACCTGCCCAGCTATGTACTCAGGGTACTTGAATCTGCTTTGGTCTTCCTTTCCTGAAGTGTTTGTGGTAAAAATTAATGCTATAAATGTGCATACAAAATATATTGTATATTTGCTTAGACAAATGCAGCTCGGGTAACCCGAGAAATACCATCCTTCAATGGAAATCTAGAAGGACAAGGCACAAGTAAGAATTGAACAGCAGAAGGAAAAAGACATCGCATTTCCTCAGTGTCCATGCACAGACACATTAGGAAAAAGCAGCTAATGTTTGATCTGGAAGGGGAAAATTACTCAGACTGTCAAAACAGAACTCAGTCCAAGTTCTGAAGAGGGGTGTTAGACTATGCTACAGCAGGCAGGGAATAAATAAACTGGAAAGCAGAACTGGATGTCTGAGTTTTTCACTGATCTCTGTGTTGGGAAAATGGATCCTGAGGACAAAGATTAAAAGATATAACAGGGGATCTAAAGAATCACTTTAGGAAACCTAACTTAAGATTAGTGAGGCTTTCAGGAGAAGAACACTAGCTTGCACATAACCTCCCAGATAATTTCTACTTCAAGATAAAAGGCACATATCCAAAGTCCATATCTAGGCCCAAAAGATGCCTGATGTTCTTCCAGAAACTCTTAAAAGTATTCTTCCTATTCAAGTCAATCAAGCTGTGTGCTTGCAAAACCTTTTGAAAATCAGGCCGTTTCTACGTAGGTGCCTACACACAGATAATATCTGAATTTGGCCAGATTTTCTAAACTCAAACATGTATTCTTGGTGTCACTGATCTTTGGAGTTTCTCATCCAAACCTGAGCCCATGCAAAAGTGACAGGCTCTTTCCTGAAAGATCCCAACCCAATACTAAAGGAAACCAGCCAAAGGAAGGAGAGTGTGATTTGCCATACTCCTACTGAAAAAATGAAGAGAGGGAACAGGCCGATCTGTCTGTGGCAATGCAGGGTGTTCGTGGTAACAGGTCAGCTGAGACTCCTGAGTTTCAGATAGGTATCATCCTTTGCTCGGAATATTATGCTGTGGTTGTCTTCATTGCGAGGATGAGTCTATTTGAATAGGAAGTCTGGGCTAAGATATGGTACCTTGGGCCTACTGGGTGGATTCCATGAATAGGAAATCTTAATTAAGTGGAGGAGAGTATTTAATAACTTTGGACTAGGAGGTAGGACTAAAACTAACATCCCTCCCTTCCAGCTAGCTACATGTCACCCACTCGCAAAAGTCAAGGAGAGGAAGAGAAATTCCTGTTTTAAACAGAAGCAGCAAATAGAAAAAAAAGAGCTTTGCTGTAGAGCTTAAGAGAGTTGCAAATCAACATGCTTCAAAGTCCCAGTCTACTTCATGTTGGTTTTAATGTGCAAGTGGAAGAAGTTTATTCTTTTTAAGCAAGAAAGGACTCTAAGTATTTTAGAAAGTCATCTTAATGGGCACGCAAGCCATAAAAACAAATAAAGAAAAAGAAAGGCATCAGAGCCAGCAGATTTTTGTGGAGGGACAGTTAGTTAGCTCTAGAGAATGAGCTACGTACCATGGAAATTGATTTCCCATCCTCTTCAGACTGACATAATTTCACAGTCTAGAACAGAACAAATATTTACAAGGAAACAAACTATGAAGTGGCAGAATGTCCAGCTAGCTGTGTTACCAGTAGTTTGGATTTCTACTCTTGCATAACAGAGAGAGAGAAGACAAGGTGGACCTTGGGTTAGTTCTCTCATGGTTACGGCATAACTAGAAGGTCTAGGGAGTACTGTGCTCTATTCCTGAGATTTAGTTGTACATTTTATACTGAATAGGCTACTTGAACCAGAAATGATCCTGGGCACAAGAAAGTACCAGAGCACGGTATTCCTCCATCCTGGATGGCTTCCCTTGCCACCAGCAACTGCTGAGTGAGGCTTCTTGGGTTCATTCTGCCCAGACCCACGAATTTCTCATGCCTTTCCATGCAGTGAACCGAGTCAGCGGGAGAGTGTGACTCTCGGGTCCAGTGGAGTCCACAATTAGGTGGTTAGGTTTTTCACTGGGGCTCTAGGCAAAAAATACAGGCTTTACAGTGTAGACCTGCAGCCTGTTCAACTTGGGTCTAGGTTTGAAGCAACTAAAGTCTGCCGAAGGACAAGATTCAGGAGGGACTTGAGCTCTCTGAGCCCCTGTTCATTGCCAGCTTCTTGTCTGGAGAGCCCTCCGTTGTAGACTGTACACTCTTTAGGACAGACGCTCTCTTACTTTGACCATATATTGGGTCTAGAACAAAAGACTATGTGATGCTGACAGGGCTTAATAGGCTTTATGGAAGTACAAGCAGAAACAAGAGCATTCTGCAAGTTTGAAAGGAGGAAGATAGTGTATAGACACGTAATAGATGCAAGAAAACATGTATTTTCATCAACTACAAGAAAAGATTTAAGACAAAGGACAAAATTTTGGCTTATCAGTCAGATTAAGATGACTTGGAAGACAGCATATCTGCCAATGTCTGACACTGGAAAAAGTCATACTTGTGTTAGATGCACAGTCC